GAAGAGAAGAGAAGAGAAGAGAAGAGAAGAGAAGAGGCCCATAGAGGTCACACATGGATCAAGGCACAGAGAAACAGCACTGCTAATTAAACAGCATTGTGTTTCATTCTTGCGGCAATGGAGCAGTTGATTAGAAAGATAATTAAATTGGGTATCGAAATTTGACAGGGGAGTTTCATGTCTAGTCCAATCATAATCGAAAACAGCGTAATGCTATCACAAAACAAATAGCATGTACTGTAAGTGCTTGATTATTGTTTCACATTCTTGACACCTGGAAAGGTGACGAAGGCATGTATAATGTAGAGTATTCATACCCCTTGACTTATTCCACATTTTGTTGTGTTACAGCCTGAATTCAACATTGATTAAATATATTTTTTTCACACAATACCCCATAATGATTAAGTGAAAACATGTTTTTAGAAATGTTTGCAAATTCTTTTGAAAATGAAATACAGAAATATCTCATTTACATAAGTATTCACATCCCTGAGTCAATACTTTGTAGAAGCACCTTTGGCAGTGATTACAGCTGGGAGTATTTCTGGGTAAGTCTGTAAGAGCTTCACCTGGATTGTGCAACATTTGCCCCTTATTCTTTTCAAAATTCTTCAAGCTCTGTCAAATTGGTTGTTGATCATTGCTAGACAGCTATTTTCAGGTCTTGCATAGATTTTCAAGTAGATTTAAGTAAAAACGTTAAATCAGCTACTCGGGAACATTCACTGTCTTCTTGGTAAGCAACTCCAGTATAGATTTGGCCTTGTGTTTTGGTTATTGTCCTGCTGAAGGTGAATTCATCTCCCAGTGTCTGTTGGAACGTAGACTGAACCAGGTTTTCCTCTAGGATTTTGTCTGTGCTTAGCCCATTCCGTTTATTTTTTATCCTGAAAAACTCCCCTGTCCTTAACAATTACAAGCATACTAATGATGCAGCCACCATTATGCTTGAAAATTAGGAGAGTGGTACTCAGTAATGTGTTGTATTGGATTTGCCCCAAACTTAACACTTTGTATTCAAGACAGAAAGTGAATTGCTTTGCCACATTTATTTGCAGTATTACTTAAAGGCCTTGTTGCAAACAGGATGCATGTTTTGAAATATTTTTATTCTGTACAGTCTTCCTTCTTTTCGCTCTGTCAATTAGATTAGTATTGTGGAGTAACTACAATGTTGTTGATCCATCCTCAGTTTTCTCTTATCACAGCCATTAAACTCTGCAACTGTTTTAAAGTCACCATCGACCTCATGGTGAAATCCCTGAGCGGTTTCCTTCCTCTACGGCAACTGAGTTAGGAAGGACACCTGTATCTTTGTAGTGACTGGGTCTATTGATACACCATCCAAAGTGTAATTAATAACTTCACCATGCTCAAAGGGATATTCAATGTCTGTTTTTTTTACTATCTACCAGAAGGTGCCCTTCTTTGCAAGGCATTGGAAAACCTCCCTGGTCTTTGTGGTTTAATCTGTGTTTGAAATTCACTGCTCAACTGAAGGACCTTACAGATAATTGTATGTGTGGAGTACAAAGATGAGGTAGTCATTCAGAATCATGTTAAACACTATTATTGCACACAGAGTGAGTCCATGCAACTTATTAAGTGACTTGATAAGCACATTTTTCCTCCTTAACTTATTTAGGCTTGCCGTATAAAGGGTAGAATACTTATTGAATACTTACTGACTCAAGACATTTCAGCTTTTCATTTTTAATACATTTGTAAACATTTCTAAAAACACAATTGCACTTTGACATTATGGGGTATTATCTATAGGCCGGTGACAAAAAATATATTTTAAATTCAGGCTGTAACCCAACAAAATGTGAGAAAAGTCAAGGAGCGTGAATACTTTCTGAAGGCGTTGCATATGCTACATAGATAATATATCCAGTAATAAATTACATTACACACCAATAACACATTTACAGAACTGTAATCTTGCTGATTTGAAAATAATCGTTTTGGAATGAAGCTGATGATGATTCAATCTTAGGTAAAAAATGAAGCGTTATACCTGGGAAAAAAGCTATTTATGTGAAACATATGAATGAGTTCCATGAGGTAAATATATAGACTCCATTGTCAAATCAGTCCTACATCTTTCATGCAGACTCTCTAGTTCTGTTTATAAATCATCTGCAGCACTCTTCAAATCATCCCCCTTAGAGATAAAACAGACATAAAATTATGCCTGATCACTCCCTCCCCTGACAACCGCCTCCTGAATAAACCCAAACAACTTATTCAAGCATCTCTACTTCAGTAAAACCCAAGGGAACCGAATGATGCCTTATTTGATGTCTTATTTTCCTCAGCCACTGGACTGTTATGTACTGTTAGTACAGTTTAGTGTGTTTGGCACCATGCCAATACGTCTGATGGCATTGGGACTTTGAAGACATTTCTCAGTGGATATAAATAGTGTATTTATTTCTCACCTCCCGGCAGGGCTCAGACAATAGAACCAAGATGGCTTCCCTTTCCCTGACCACATTCAGTTTTTCTCATAGAGGGACAGTGCACTGTCTCATGTACACGTATCCCTATATCCCCACATCCCCTAGAATACTGTATTTGGATTTACATCCCCTGTGTGTCTTGAACGACCCAACATGAGACGTGACCCAGTTCAAGTGTAACAGGTTCTGATTGGCTATCTATAGAACAACGGTCACCTGGCAGACAGCTCCAAAGCAAATGTAAATCTATCCTACATGATACGTATGTGGCCTGTCTGGGTATTAAAACCACAGGCTTGGAGTCACTAGCCCATATTTCCTCATAATGTCATTTGTCAGTCTCCACATCACCTTCTGTTTAACCCTTCACCCAGCAGCTTTACAGTATATGATGTACCCATGACAACATTCGTTGTCAATCTCCACATCCACCACATCTGGAGATCTAGCGCACGTCTTTCTTGACATCACTGAATCTCTCTCATGTTGCTCCTCTCTGCAATATGGTCAGTTGTGGATTAATTTGTCATGGCATAAAAGTCTGAGGCTTTGTGGTTTTGAAAATGTGGATACAGTAAATAAAGAGTTGGAATCCGAAGCAGAGGCATTCAGCCTACTGTTTAAATTAGACCAAGCCTTATACTGCAATATCATACAGAAAAAAAGAGTATTAAAGAGCAAAGCTTGGGTAACAGTGTGAATCCATTATTGAACCAATACTGCAGGCAGACCACAAAGCTGAAGACGTTCACAGAGGTAGTAGTAGCTTTCAATCTTTTCCCCTCTCTCTCTCTCTCTCTCTCTCTCTCTCTCTCTCTCTGTCTCTGTCGCTCTCTCTCTCTCTCTCTCTCTCTCTCTCTGTCTCTCTCTCTCACACACACACACGGCGAGGCTGGTAAAGGGGAGGACAGCTAATAATAATGGCTGGAACAGAGTGAATGGATTGGTATCAAACTATGTGTTTGATATGTTTTATATCGCTAAGTACATGCCGTTCTAGCCATTACTATGAGCCCGTCCTCCCCAATGAAGGTGCCACCAGCCGCCTGTGACACACACACACACACACACACACACACACACACACACACTATTATGGAGCATGTAGTGACACATTTGAGTTTTCTATTTCCAAAGGTTAAAACATGGAGCACACTCAAGAACACTTCAAGATCTGTTTTTAATCTGCTGGCCAATAGCTTCTTCTTTGGCTGAAGATTAAAATAATTGCAGCATAAATCATATTAGATTGTATTTATGCTATGAAGGTGGCTCATACCACAGGCAATTTCTCCCAATCTTCCTTTCTCATCCCTTATGAGGATAAAATCATTTTAGCAAAAGTGCAATGTGTGATCGATCTGTCTGCTTACATACAGTGTCTAAATGAGGCACAACATCATGAGATATATTCCCATATCACTATATTTTTCTGATTAATAACAGTTCATAGGTGGTTTTGTAAACCACAGAATATGCCATGCCCATGCATTCGCGCCACAGCATAGTGCCATCAGCGTAGTGTGCTGCGTTTCAGCACCACCGATAACAGCGCGTGTATTTGGGGGTTCAGCGATGAGGGAGAACCGAAGCTCACTCAAAAAGATCTATGTCATCAACCCACCTGACAGCAGTCATAATCGGATACCGTTTTAGATAAGAATGGATTAAAAACGACTCAAAGTTAATTACATTTTGACACCTCTCAATTAAACTCGACCATGCAATTGCAGTCATTCCTAACTAGTTTGGCTACTCATGAAATAAATTAATAAGTAGATACTACACCTGTGTACAGTGTGAACCTACACTGAACCTATTCTTTCCAGCCCAAGCTGCCTCAACTTCATCCGAAGCCGACGGACACTTTCAATCTCTATCATTTCAACTTTTTGTTATTTTACTTTTTATGCGCTTTGAGATTCTTTGAAAAACGCTATATAAGTTTAGAAAAATATGTATCTACTCACTCTCATGTCTTATTGACGACAGTTTGATGAATGATTCATAGTTTTTTTTCTTTTCTAAACCTCCCAGTACCCAACACACAGCTCCATCAGCCTTGAAATCTGGGTTTATGACTTCACTTTTACTCTGAACTAGATTTTTTTATATCTTGATGGGCCATAAAAGATTAATGAAAGTACAGAAAAGAACGGGTCGTACAAAGGCGCTGGAATTATTATGCTGTGGCCTAAAAATATGAGTTACCTCACTGAATATTAAATTAATTCCTAACTTTGAAAGCAGGGGACAATATCAGTAGAGCCATATTAAATCATCAATGACAATGCTGTATTTAGCTTTTGTTTAATATATCCTATTTCCTCTGTACATTGTTTCTAATATTCACACATTTGTGCACAACAAGAAATATTTTGATATCATATTATTTACATATAAACGTTCCTTTTGGAATGAATATAGTCATTCAGAGGTGCAGGGATGCGCGCTTGGGTGAAGAACTGACGTTTGTTTCGATGAGCAGTGAAGCACAGTCAGGCAGTCACAGCCTCAAAGTGACCCTTCTTTTCAAGTGGTATTAGTGCGTTTTGAAGTCCGGCATATGATTTTCTTAAACGCTTTACGAAAATCCCTGTTGAAAATTGTATATATGATAGGGTTCACTGAGCTGTTACAGTAGCCAATCCAGAAGAAGGCGTTGAAGAGCGCGCCGGGTATGTAACAGCTCTCCCTGCAGATCGCGTGCAGGCTGTATGTGAAAAAGAAAGGGAACCAGCAGAGCACGAACACCCCCATCACCACCGCCAGCACGAACGTGAAGCGCTTCTCGCGCATCTGGGCCACTTTGGTCTTGGACGCAGCCGCCGCGAGGTGCTGCCGATGGGCTGCGAGGTGCTGCCGCTGGGCCGCCAGGGCAGCATTGGTTGTGTTTTTGGGATCTTGGAAGAGCTGCGAGGCACGTGCCGAGGCCCAGGAGAGGCGGCAGCTCTGGCGCGGGCAGCAGTCCGAGACCTCCACCTTCCTGTGCTTGGAGAAGCGGTGGTTCCGTGGTTTAATGTCCGACGCACAGCAGCTCTCCTCCAAGTCGATATCATCCAGCTCCTCCTGCCTGTGGTGGTCCTCGGAGCTCTGGCTACTGGGGCTCTCCATCCGCTCCTTCCTCACGAAGCACGTCTCCGACTGGGAGGGCTGCCTCTCCAGGCCGTTCTTAGCCACGAACACGGTGGAGGAGCGCTGCTTGGCCACTTTATAGATCTTACAGTACACCAGGATCATGATGAGGCCCGGGGCGAAGAAGGACACGAGGCAAGAGGACAGGATGTACCAGGTCTCGTTGTTTAACAGACACTCGTGCTCGTCGTGCTTGGTCATGATGAGAGGCGGAAAGGAGATGACGGCGGAGATGACCCACACCACGGCTATCATGGACTTGATTCGCTTGGGGGTGCGCTTCAGGTTGTAGCTCACGGCCTTGGTGACTGACCAGTAGCGGTCCAGACTGATGGCGCACAGGTGGACTATGGATGAGGTGCAGAAGAGGACATCCAGTGCCAGATAAAAGGCGCACCAGGTGCTCCCAAAGTACCAGTAACCCATGACCTCATTGGCGAGGGAGAACGGGATGACCAGTGTCGCCACTAGGATGTCTGCACATGCCAGGGACACCAGGAAAAGGTTCTGGGGGGCGCGGAGAGCCTGGCTGGTGAGCACGGCCACGATGACCAGCACGTTACCGACGATAGTGACCAGAATGATCACGGTGACCACAAGGATTATGAGCGCGGAGCCCACCTCCGTTTGCGTGAGAGGTATTGGGGCTCTCGAGGTGTTGGTATCCTGCGAGGTATTGGTAACGGTGGTAAACTTGGCTACATCCATCCTGAACGCATCTTCTCCTGGGTTATTTTTAGTGTGTGCCTTTCCGCCCCAAAACAGCATTCAAATGTTGATAAAGTCATTAGTCCTAGAGAATGTCATCAGTGGAGACGCGCTGTGCGTTAGGTTGTGTGATCAGTGGACAGATATAGAGCACATAGGTACAATACCCGAGGACCCATTGCGTCCTGGTGAGCTGCTCTCATCTTCAGTTTCATAGAGGGCCCGCAAAATGTTGCCGACACAAGCCCCGCTCGCTCCGTGCTCACAACGTATCCAGTAAATTTTTGCCACTATGAAGTCCGGAAACCAGAGAAGTAAGTCTCCATGTTAGGGTGACGTTCCAGGAGCATCAGCAACATTGTGTTTCTGTTATCTCTCGGTCTTTTCTGTGCGCAGTGCTGTATGTTGTTTTGTTAAAACCAGTGTCCCCAGTTATGCACAAGATGCAGCGCGCGCTGCGAGACACACACTGCTCGTGGAATTTGTGTGCATGCGGGAGTGAAGTGGGTGACATCACTTCTAAGACCAACCCATTGTCAAACTCATCGAAATAGAGAGAGGAAGAGAGACAGAGAGAGAGAGAGAGAGAGAGAGAGAGAGAGAGAGAGAGAGAGAGAGAGAAAGAGAGAGAGAGAGAGAGCTCTGAGTTTACTTTGGATAAGGAACAGCCAAGGGGAGACTGCAGGTGGCTAGAATTACCTGTTTGATTATTTTCTATTTCCAAAACATATTCACCTCCTGTCCACAAAAAAAGATGTAAGGGCCCATGCCAAAGCACACCATTTGCAAAGTAAACAGGGTGTGCAGACAGGAGGGTTGAGTGTGTATGTTCTCTTCTGAGTGTGTGACATTGGATATGTGTATTGTTCAGAGAGGGTGTGTGTTATTTTGAGTGAGTGCATGCAATACAGTATGTGCTATTTTCAGGAGGCTCAGTTCTAGCATCCCTCTGCAGGGGTACATGCAGCAGTGGTCCCCTCTCACCACTCCCCACCACCAACCCCACATCCATCCCAGTGAGTGCTGAGTACTGAGAGCTTCTGTCCACCTAAAGGGAGACTGTCACAGTGGATCAGAGCTAGGCTGGTGCTGCAGATATGGCCCCAGGGCTCCACCTGTAATACAGACACAGAACATTAACCTCACAGGCCCATGCCCCCTCAGCTCACCTCTGCTCCAGTCCAGTCATTATCAGGACAACATGCTCTTTCAGATAGTAGCAAAGCAGAAAAATACACAAAAACATTTGTAGGTCATCCAGTTGCAAGGCTATTTTGGGTTTTAAAAAGGAGAGAAGTAATGTTTAGAACATGCAGAGATGTACAGCTGTAGTGTATTCTGTATAACATTTCATCAGCTGTGTAAAATATTATTTCACCTTGAACACAATTTTATACCTGCTCAATTGAAATCAGGTACATTATCGGCCTTTAATAAAGACATTGTAGTTGTGGTTTGAATAGTTGTAAACATAACAGTTTCAGAATCTACTTTTCACCCTATAAGGAGATGCAGTCCAATTGTGTCTTCAGTATTCAGGTGCTGACACAGTCCAGATGAAAAAAATGAAAAATGCACTCCCATTTATCAAGGTCTGATGAAAAAACAAATCCTGCACTGTCTGGCAGTACTTCAGCAATATCCTCAAGACCATAGAAAATGTTAAAGGCAGCGCCAAGAAAACTATCAACAGCGCTCAAAGAAATGTGGTTTATAGTAAACATCAGTTTTGTGATTTCGCAACAAAATGTCATTGTTAGAGCTGATAAGCATTCAAAGCTAAAAGTCAATGCCAGTGTTTCAATGTCTGATTGAGACTTGTTTGGAGACTACAGGTTGTGGGTTTCAGGAGAGTTGTGAGTAAACACTTCCCCCAATACAAACGTGCACGCACACACACACACACACACACACACACACACACACACACAAGCACACACACAAGCACCCACGCATGCACACAAACACACACACACACACAAACCTGCATCCCACCCCCTTCCATCGGTACCTATTCCAAGTTGCGAAACAATACCCAACATCCTGCTGGTTGGTCTCCAGCTTCCTGCTGTGATGTAATCAACACACCTAATGATAGGTGGATGTGCATCACAGCCCCATCCTGACTTCCAGTCCCCATCCCCTCACTGTGGCCAAAGGGTTTCCCTTGACACCAGTGACCTAACATCCTATAAAACAACACCACTCAACCTCCCACCTCCAATCTCACTCCCAAGCGTTCAACTCTCACCTCCTACCACACTACAAAGTGCTGGATCCTCTCGGCACAGGTCCAAGGAGGATCTGAGGCAGCAAATCAAGTAAATAATACAAATGTGACAACAACCTCTTCCTCAACATCAGTAAGACCAAGGAGCTGTCCATATGTAGCTTGTTTTTTGTCACTGGTCCAGGAATGGCTGAAGAATTTCAATATTTACCTGGAGCTAACCCTGCAGATAGCACTACTGGGTGATCTGAAAAGTCATAGTCAATCGATCAATATATAATAATACTTTTAGCAAAAATGTTTATTTTCAATTTCCAATCTGTAGAAACAATGAGAATAGAAAGGTTCAGAACTTTTGTGAAACAGCACAGCACAGTTGAAAAATATATGGCAAATAGAAATTCAATATGGATGGTGTTAAGAGATAGATGGGAGGGGTTGAATGGAGCTGAAGGTTGGGACTAATAACAACTAATAACAACAACATAACTAATGTAAAACATACTGTGTCTGTAAAACATATATAGGTTATAGGTTAAGAACTTTTGTGAAAGATTACAGTTTGAAAGATATGGCAAATAGAAATCAAACCGGATGGACATCAGAAATAGATGGGAGAGGTTGAGGGTAGAGGAAGGACAGGAGTAAAAACAAACAAAATAGAACTATTGTAAAATAGACTGTGTCCATAAAATGTATATAGTATGTCTAAGCTGGAAGTAGAGGCCTAAGCGTTGTTGTTCACTAGTTTACTCCAATTAGCGGAGGGGTGGCAGGGTTAGAAAGTAATAAAGGAAAATACATAAAAAAATATGAACATGTATATATATGTATATGTATGTATGTATGTATGTATGTATGTATGTATGTATGTATGTATGTATGTATGTATGTATGTATGTATGTATGTATGTATGTGTATATGTATGTATTTATATGTGTATGTATATGTATAAGTATGTATGTGTATATATACTGTGGGGGAAAAAAGTATTTAGTCAGCCACCAATTGTGCAAGTTCTCCCACTTAAAAAGATGAGAGAGGCCTGTAATTTTCATCATAGGTACACGTCAACTATGACAGACAAATTGCGATTTTTTTTCTCCAGAAAATCACATTGTAGGACTTTTAATGAATTTTATTTGCAAATTATGGTGGAAAATAAGTATTTGGTCAATAACAAAAGTTTCTCAATACTTTGTTATATACCCTTTGTTGGCAATGACACAGGTCAAACGTTTTCTGTAAGTCTTCACAAGGTTTTCACACACTGTTGCTGGTATTTTGGCCCATTCCTCCATGCAGATCTCCTCTAGAGCAGTGATGTTTTGGGGCTGTTGCTGGGCAACACGGACTTTCAACTCCCTCCAAAGATTTTCTATGGGGTTGAGATCTGGAGACTGGCTAGGCCACTCCAGGACCTTGAAATGCTTCTTACGAAGCAACTCCTTCGTTGCCTGGGCGGTGTGTTTGGGATCATTGTCATGCTGAAAGACCCAGCCACGTTTCATCTTCAATGCCCTTGCTGATGGAAGGAGGTTTTCACTCAAAATCTCACGAGGTCAAAATGATCACAAGAACGGTGAGCAAAAATCTCAGAACCACACGGGGGGACCTAGTAAATGACCTGCAGAGAGCTGGGACCAAAGTAACAAAGCCTACCATCAGTAACACACTACACTGCCAGGGACTCAAATCCTGCAGTGCCAGACGTGTCCCCCTGCTTAAGCCAGTACATGTCCACGCCTGTCGGAAGTTTGGAGGACAAAGAATGCTGAGTTGCATCCAAAGAACACCATACCTACTGTGAAGCATGGGGGTGGAAACATCATGCTCTGGGGCTGTTTTTCTGCAAAGGGACCAGGACGTCTGATCCGTGTAAAGGAAAGAATGAATGGGGCCATGTATCGTGAGATTTTGAGTGAAAACCTCCTTCCATCAGCAAGGGCATTGAAGATGAAACGTGGCTGGGTCTTTCAGCATGACAATGATCCCAAACACACCGCCCAGGCAACAAAGGAGTTGCTTCGTAAGAAGCATTTCAAGGTCCTGGAGTGGCCTAGCCAGTCTCCAGATCTCAACCCCATAGAAAATCTTTGGAGGGAGTTGAAAGTCCGTGTTGCCCAGCAACAGCCCCAAAACATCCCTGCTCTAGAGGAGATCTGCATGGAGGAATGGGCCAAAATACCAGCAACAGTGTGTGAAAACCTTGTGAAGACTTACAGAAAACGTTTGACCTGTGTCATTGCCAACAAAGTGTATATAACAAAGTATTGAGAAACTTTTGTTATTGACCAAATACTTATTTTCCACCATAATTTGCAAATAAATTCATTAAAAGTCCTACAATGTGATTTTCTGGAGAAAGAAAATCGCAATTTGTCTGTCATAGTTGACGTGTACCTATGATGAAAATTACAGGCCTCTCTCATATTTTTAAGTGGGAGAACTTGCACAATTGGTGGCTGACTAAATACTTTTTTCCCCCACTGTATACACTACCGGTAAATGTTTTAGAACACCTACTCATTCAAGGGTTTTTCTTTATTTTTATGTTGTAGGATAATAGTGAAGACATCAAAACTATGAAATAACACATATGGAATCATGTAGTAACCAAAGAAGTGTTAAACAAATCAAAATATATTTTATATTTCAGATTCTTCAAACCCTTTGCCTTGATGACAGCTTTGCACACTCTTGGCGTTCTCTCAACCCGCTTCATGTAGGAAGTAGCAGTGCCAACACTGCCAAGTGGCTGGGATGTCC